AACACCCCCTCCCCCTTTCCCTACCATCTATTTGCATCCATTGGCAACTTTGAGAATTTGTGAGTGAAGGAAGGGGAGGCCATTTTTTCCCAAGGTTTGGAAGCTTTGGAGACATTGGAGTCATTCCTTTGGCTCTGACATTAGGATTCTCAAGACGGTAAGGGCAGTAGGGAGGTTTCTCCATGGCTTTATGGGCAATGGTGATGATAAAGTGAGAATCAGTGCAGGAAGATGGATTCCGCATGGTGAATGTAGCTGACAGACTTATAATATGAGGCATCTTTTTTTCAGGACAGACATAACTTGAGGGACACTTTGAGGGGAAATAATAGCCAATCCAGTCTTATACCATAATAATTTGACTGTAAGAATGGAAGTATGACGTTTACAGGATGGTGAAGCCTAGCACAATTCAATTTCATATATACTTACAAATATGGGATACTTTGTATATGTTGTTTTTCACTACTGTATTGCGAGTATATCAGCATGTATTTACCTTAAAAATATTTACTGACTAAATAATAATTCATTATGGGGATGCACCAGTGTTCAAATAATTCCCTTTTGTTGTTGGAATCTTAGGTTGCTAATATATTTTTGCTGTTATAAATAATGCTTGAACAAACATCCTTTTGCACATATTAAGGCTTTTGACATATTGCCAAATTGCATTTATTAATAGCCTAGTTGCTTATACTTCACATCTCTGAAGCTGAGCACCACTTTATTATGTATGTGAAACTAAAACAAAGCACAGTAAGGTATCATTATAAAGGAACTTGTTAGTACATTATTAATTACTGGTATGACTGTGTGAACTGGGTATCCCATCAAATTCTGTAAATGTAACAACTTAGAGAAACAGGAGCTAGTACAGTGCCTGTCCCAAAGTAGAAACTTTGTCAGAATGTAGTCCTTTGGTGCAGCAGGGTAATAATTATATGCCTCTGGGTAAGAAAGTAATGGGCAGACTTGCGTTAGGTTTTGGGGATGATGGGTGGTGGTTCCCCAACTCCAGATTTCTTTATGTTGTCTCTTCAGTAGCGTTCATTAATCTGCAGTGTGCCCTCTAATAAGCATCATAAATTTTTGCCTCAGCAGTAAAGCTAAAATGTGTTCTTCTAGTTGAAAATAATCTTATTGAACTCCTTATGGGAAAACAGATGTTTATTATATTTGTGGTATTTGTGACCCTTGAGCCAGTCCCACCTGTAAACCAAGTATACTCTTATTTCTGTGGGTGAAATTTCACTTCTTTAATCCAAATATAAAGGCACAACTCTAGAGCTTGAGTATTAATTCAGTTATCTTGGCCAGTCGTTCCACCCCGCCCCGGTTCTTTTAGCATTTGGTGGAAATCCTTTCTAACAGCCATGTCTTTAAATGGTTTAAGCAGTTGTTTCCTCTGAGCGATATAATTACTTTTCTGTGTATTCTAAATTTTCACGAATGAGCTTATGCTGTTTTCATAAAATATATATTAATCGGGGGTCCCCGCAACCCCTTCTTCTGTTTCAATAATTTGTGAGAATGGCTTACAGAAGGCAGGAAAACAGTTTAATTACCATTACCAGTTTATTACAAAGGATGCAACTCGGGAACAGCCAAATGGAAGAGATGCCTAGGGCAAGGTATGAAGAGAAGGGATACAGAGCTTCCCTGTCTTCTCTAGGTGCACCACCCTCCCAGCTCCTCCATGTGTTCACCAACCGGGAAGCTCTGTGAACCCTGTTGTTTAGGGTTTTTATGGAGGTTCCATTCCATAGGCATGAAAGAGTAAATCATTGGCCATTGGTGAATAACTTGGAAGCTGGAAGTTCCAACCTTCTAATCACTTGGTCAGACTCCCAGTGAGTCCCCATCCTGAAGCTTTCTGGGGGCCCACTAAGAGTCACCTCATTAACATCAACTCAGGTATGGTTGAAAGGGGTTTATTATGAATAAGAAAAGACGTTCCTCTCACCCTTATCACTCAGGAAATTCCAAGGATTTTAGCAGCTTTCTGACAGGAACCAGAATGAAGACCAAATATATGTATTTCTTATTATATCATAATATCACAGTATCCATTGTGCCTGCCATGATGTGCTGCATGTATTTGAGATGATTTAATAGAATATGAAGCTCATTCATGTGGTAGCAGAATCTAGTTGCAATCTGTGAGCATATCTAGTTGCTGCATGATTCTTTATATTGAGCTACATTCCACTTCATCGTGATATTTACCCACAGTTTTGTTCTCTAGAGCTGCATAGAATGAGTCTGCCCACTCTTCTGAAAGACTGTCTTTCAGATAAAGAGTTGTGGAAACCAGCTCTATTGCTAATTTAATTTTGGAGTAAATCAAAAGATGGATAGATGTTCTGAGGATATTGTAATTACTGTATACAACTCCAAAATCACAGGGTTAAAGCCTGCTGGTGCACTGTCCAATTTCACTGCTGTTCTGTTTCTGCTTTTCCCACTGGAAACCTGTATACATTTATAGAAATAATCCCGCAGGATCTGCCAGCTCTTAGAGCCTCCCTCTCTTTCATCTTCCTGGTGTCCAGCTAAGTTAATAGCTTCATTGTGAATATTCCATTTGACATCTTATTTGTAATACTTTTTCTTGTAACCAAAGACTTAACCCTTGAGCAAAATGGAACCCTGTATTTTGGTGTACAAAGTCCTTTTACATTTTTATGATTTGACATTTTTCTAGACCATAGAGTAAAAAGTATTTACCCTCTTAAGGCAATTAATTCCTAGGCAGTGAGGGGAACAGACTTTATATCCCGCATGTGATTGTGCTTCTTAATATCTAGATTACTTGGCACTACGTTAATATTTAGAATATTTAGTGCCAAACAGTTGTCACAATAAAAACCATAGTGGTCAGCTCATTCAAAGGCCCTTTCAGCTTTGTGTGTTGACTTTAAAATAGCTGCTCCTGGTATTTGTAGCAGCCGCATGCTGTGTCGGGGAGTTTGAGTAGCATGCCTGTTCTGAGACTTCACGAAGAAGTAGATCTTGTCATAAGGGACTGCGAATAATCACAGAAAGCCTATAGTGACCCCATTCATCCCTATTCCTGGATATTTCAAAAAGTCTAAGTCAGTTCAGATACCCAGTGTCTCCAATCCCAAGACATTTTAGGTTTACTGTTTTTGCTCATTCAATTTAATGTTTTTATATATGGTTCAAAAATCAAGAAGTTAATTAGTATATAGTGAAAAGGTGTCTTCCTACTCATATTCTCCCATCTAACCATGTCCTATCTCTAGGTATTATTGGCCTTCTATGTAGCTTTCCAGAATTTCTTTATGCATGTACAGGCAAAATATATATTATTTGCCCCCCTTTCTTAGTATACACTGTTTTTCACCTGCTTTTTTTCCTCTGTCAAAAAATAACATATCTCATGGAGACTTCCCTCAACATTGTTTTATAACTTCATAGTATTCCATTTTACAGATATTCCATAATTTCTTTTTTTTTTTTTTTGAGAATTACGTTTTATTTGATAGACTTGCTGAGGACTTAAGCCTGGAAGACAGCCTCTCAGATGACACTGAGGGACTGCTCTGAAGAGGTAAGGGAGGAGCCAGGATATATAGGAGTTTTTGCAAGAAACCAGGTAGTAGGAACATCAAAAGATTATTGTTAATTAAAGAAAAACAGGGACTTCCCTGGTGGTCCAGTGGTGAGGACTCCAGGCTTCCACTGCAGGGGGTGTGGGTTCGATCCATGGTTGGGAAACCAAGATCCCGCATGCCGTATGGCGCAGCAAAAAAAAAAAAAAAAAAAAAAAAAAAAAAGAAACCAAGATCCCGCATGCCGTATGGCGCAGCAAAAAAAAAAAAAAAAAAAGAAAAAAAAAGAAAGAAAAACAGACATCTCAAGTTAATGAAGTCAGCGCTTTTCTTTGTACGGGAAGATGCAGGAGTCTGAGTTCATTTAAATCATTCCTTGAATACGGACCTTATCATTGAAAAACAATGTTGCCTGCCAATTCAGTAAACAAAGGATGTTGTAGCCATCAAGCCATCAAGCCCTCACATTACAGCTGCCTGAGGGTGAGCCCTGAGGGAACTCAGCATAGAAATAGGATGCCTGCCATCAGACACTGCAGCCACCACCAGCCCCCCATACTGCACCCTGAGGAGACGCAGGATGAGAAAACATGGGAGAGAGATATACCATAATTTCTTAATCAGACACTCTTGGCAGACGTTTAGGTCTGTTTCCAGTTTTTTGTTAATAACCTTGCACTGTATGTCCGTGTGAAAGTACATTCTAGAGCCAATCTTAAGTTTGTGCTACTGCTGTAAACAGAAAAACATTGACTGTGATCAAGAGGTTCGACTATAATTGGTTCAGCTATTGTCCTTTATTCTGAGATGGGCCTTAAGTTATTAGAGAATAAGAGAAATGCTCTTATCAAACCTGGGAGGTCAGGTCAAACCTGGGAAGTCAGGTCAAACCTGCATCCGTTTGGCCTTTTAAGTGGAGAATTCTTCTGCATACTACCGCCCTGCAGAAATTTTAGAGGCACCCTTACTTTTTCTTCCTCCTACCGTAACCAGTCCAGGCAGTTGCCAAGTGTTGTGCTTCTTTCATGCTGTTACCATTTGTGTCTGACCCTTTTTCATTCTCACTTCACCATCTTATCCAGCCTAGCTATTCACACAAGGAATTTTCTGCAGTCTTTTCTGTGCTCTAGTTGATTCTAATACTGATTTTAACTAGAGCACAGATTGATAATGGTTGATGCTTTTGGAATACCTACTGTGTACCAGGCACTGTGCTGCTTTCCATGTACTGACCATTTCTCTCTTCTATCTTTCTAACTACCCTATGAGGTGATTGTAATATTTCCATTTCACAGATAAGGAAATCGAGGCACAAAGATTATATATCTAAGAGGTGGTGGAGTCAAACAGCTATGAGATGGTCTCAGTTCTTAAAAAGTTAATGACCTAATTAGGAGAAGTAGGAAACCATTCCTTCAAACTAGAAGTGCTACACTAGTCTAGAGAAGAAAGGAAAG